CCTGGTCACAGTCGGACAAAATGTTGTTTGTCACTCTGACTAAGGCTGTTTCTGTGCTGTGAGCAGCACGGGAACCTGAATAGAGAGGTTTGTTGAGGGAGTGGTGGGAGCGGAAGGACCAAACCTGGGAAGCAACAACTCATTCCAGGATCTTAGAAAGGAAAGGGAAGGTGGGAGATGGGGTGGTAATTGGACAGCAGGGATGGATACAGGGAAGGTTTTTTGAGGATGGGATTGATGACGGCTGTTTTTATTGGGGTGGTAACAGTGTCAGTGGACAGGGAAAGGTTGATGATATCTGTGAGGGGCAAGGAGGTAGAGCTGGGAGGTCCGGAGAGGGGTAGGAATGGGGTCGAGGGAGAAGGTGTTGGGTTTTATATGGGTCACAATTGTGGTGAGAGAGGAGGGGGAGACAAGTTTGAATGTGTGTAGTGTGGGATCAGTAAGGGCCCGAGTGTGAGGAGGGGATCGGGAGGATAGCAGTTGGAAGGGCAGAGGTGGCTGAGCGGAAGGTGGGAGCCCTCGATTTTAGTCTTGAGGAGGTTCAGCATATCCTCGCAGTTGGCGTGCACTGAGAGGGTGGGTGGAGGAGCTGGTTGGCGGTGGAGAAGAAAAGCCCGGGATTGCCCTTGGCCTCCAAGATTATCTTGGAGTAGAAGGATAGTTTAGCGGAGGTGAGGGTGTGGTCTTGATATGGTCCAGCCAGATCTGCCGATGGACTGTTAGGTTAAACCATTTTACGAGAGTAACCATAAAGCATCGGTTATGTTTGCAGCTCAGTCATACAAATCTTCTCATCTAATGCGTGCACCTTTGTTGCAGAGCTCTGTGAGATGAGAGAATGGAATTTATGTTCTGTGAGTGGCTGAAAAAATTTAGAATTTCAAATATCTATTCAAGGGGATTTAATGGTAATGACTAAAATCGTAATTTGAAAGTTGAAAAACAATGAAATATGGATCGAGCAAATCCTAAAATCAATTCAAACTCACATACAGAAGGTTCAGCCAATTTTGTGGATTTAACTGCATTCAACACTAACAACTTGCATTTATATCGGGCCCTTCACAGAGGGTAGCGTCTCAGAACGCATAACAATAGCATAGCTTCATCCTGACCTGGGGAGAAAGGTTTGGTGCCCGTAGGAATGGTCAAAGAGCAAGTCTTCAGGTATAATCTGTTTTGAGGGCTCATGTGGAATATAAACACTGTCCGTGTCACATGAGCCTCTACCCACCAACTTATCCTAGCTCCCCCCTCATACCCTTCTATTCCCTATTCACTGATGTATGAGATTGATAGTCAACTTGTGGAGTCCCATAGTGTAGTGGTGAGAGCACCCACCTCGCAAGCTAGAGGACCCAGATTTGATTCCTAGGCAGGGAATAGGAAACCTTAGGAAAGTTTCCTTGCTCCACACACCTCTTGTTTACATAGCAGTAAGTATGAACCTGTTTTTTAGTCAATTGGGGGATCATTTTCCGGTGGTAATAAATCCTTCATACAAAAAAAATTGGTCACATAATCCATGACTGTTTGTGGGATACTGCTGTACACAATTGGATACCACATTTTGCCTACAAAATATACAGTTAATACACTTTACAGTATATTCTATGAAGTCCTTTGAGACGTCTCAATGATGTGATGAGGCACTGTATCAAATGCGAGCATTATTATTATTATTATGATAATCTACACTCACCATTGCTGTGACTCAAATAGTTTTGGAATTCTCCCTTTAGAGTCTGTGTCCTCTAATTCTTCACAGTCAGTTTAAGTCCTTGGTGACATTGTACCAAACTGATGGTGTTAAAAGCCATATGTTTTTGATAGGAAAACTTACATTGGGCAAAGGGTTAAATGTTGAACAGAACAGCATAAGTGTTCAACTGTATGTCTGGAGACTTCAGATAGTAGCCCTCTAGCTAAATAGCAAATATCATGTAATGGCTTTTAAAGCTCTGTCTGACTTCTTCTCAGGAGCAGAATTCAGAAAGAGATGGATTCCACTCATTATTGAAGAGTTGCCTTCCTCCTACAAATGCATTAAAATAATACTAATCTGTGCTGCCTCGACAACCAACTTCAATTCGGATGCATCTTCATGAGTCGCAAGAAACAATCTTGTGATGTCCATCAGGATTGAAATGTAGCCGGGTGTCAGGGTTATTGATTGCTGCATACCATTACTCATAAAAGGGATGGTGGGTACATTTCTTAAAAGTAGGATTCCTTCATTCAATAATAGGATTTCTCAATATAATGGGATTCTGTAACATGGGTTTCATAATAATAGGATTTTTTAATATTTTTTACTTGTGGAGTCCTGTAGCATATTGGTTAGAGCACTCTCGGGTTTGATTTCCGGGCAGGGAATTTTAACATTAGGCAAGTTTCCTTACTCCATATGCCTCTGTTTGCCTAGCATTAAGTAGGAACCCGGTTGTTAATCGATTGGTTGATCGCTTTTCCGAGGGTAATAATCGCTTCAAAACATTCTTTAAAAAATAATAATTTGGTCTCTCAATCCACGACTGTTTATGGGACACTGCTCTGCGCAATTGGCTGACGCTTTGCTCCTGCAAAATATACAGTCAATGCACTTTACAATACAAAATTCTGTGAAGCCCTTTGAGACGTCTCAATGATGTGATAAGGCGCTATATCAAATGCAATGATTATTATTCACAATATGGATTCCTTAATAATAGGATATCAAATAAAAATTCCAAGGTAGACTAGCTTCAATAACTAGACGTATTGCATCGACTCGGGGGAATCTCACTGTGAAAATAGACCACTTGGGGGCATTCCTGCATGTCAGTACCAGGGCCTTCCAGATTCGCAATTGGGAAATACTGCAAAATGACCTCAAAAGCTTGGGTACTTTGCAGGCTAATATTTTTGAATTATTCATGATGATGGGATAATTACTTTGTTTGATCATATTGATCTCCATAAAGTTCAGAACAGCTCAGTAAATTGTTAAACCTGACCTTTTTTCTAATATTAGTTAAAGAGTCTCAGTCTAAACTACTGCTTGCTGCATTCGTCACATCAACGCTCAATTATGGAAACTCCTTCCTCATCGGCCTTCCCAACTCTTCCCTTCACAAGCTGCAGATTATCCAAAACTCTGCAGCTCGTGTACGCTCGTGCACCAGGCTCCGTGACCCCATCACTCCCACTCCCGTCCCACTCCACTGGCTCCCCATCCCCCAGAGGATCGAGTTCAAGATCCTCGTCCTCACTTTCAAGGCCATCCATGTCGTTGCCCCCTCCTACCTCTCTGACCTGCTGACTCCCTACCAACCTGCCCACTCTCTCCGTTCAGGGTGCTCCGGCCTGCTCCATGTTTCCCACCCGACCCGTCCTACCATCGGTGGCCTGGCTTTCAGCCTCCCTGCCCCCACACTTTGGAACTCCATCCCACAGTCCCTTCGCCTCATTTCCACCCTTGCCTACTTCAAGGCCAGGCTCAAGACCCTCCTCTTCAATCGTGCCTTCAGTCGCCCTCCCACCTCCCTGCCTTCCCTCACCCCTACACCACCCCTCCCCCATGCTCGGGTCCCGACTCCTGATTGTTTGGCGCTTTGGGACGTCTTCCCGACGTGAAAGGCGCTCTATAAATATAATTTTGTTTTTGTTGTTGTTGCTAAACTGCTGGCAGAGGGGTGTTAATTATTTTCACTCTCAATTTTCTCTTATCCTCTGCTAAAAGGTATGGACTCAGGCTTGGTTAGTTTTCTAGGTGCTGATTACTCTATAATACCTCAACCAAGTGGCTATTCTTCAATGTGTGAAATTAGACAGTGAATGTTAGGAGACTATTAAATCCAAACCCAAATGTATGAATCAATCTGCTTTTTAGTAGGATTATTAGATATTGATCAGGAGTGACAACCCTGGGGAGTTATTTCCCCCTTATTGTCTTGGGGTGCTGAGATTTCTAATTCGCACAAATTTGGGTTTGAGCCTCAGAGTTTCCTGGCTCAGTACAACATCATGTGCAGTACTGACCTGCTGAGCAATCAAGAGAGTCTCAGCGGTTCTTTTTTAAGACATGTAAAATGTTATGCCTTGTTTTTTGTGTTAGAAACATATAGTAATTTCATGCAATTAATGAATAACATTTCAAAAGATAGCAGGAAGACGTGCATTGTAGGCAATAACAACAAGAACAGCTTGCATTTATATAAACATCTTCATGCAAACAAGTGTCTCAGAGCTACCCTAATAATGGTCTTAAATATGCAATACATGTAACAGGAGTTTTTGAATGCATGATTCCTTAATAAGGATTCTGAGTTGAGCAAATGAGGTCTGCCTCCAGTACGTCACGTCAACTGATGGGAGCTTGGCTTCAACACAGTCTACATCTGAGTGGATTCCCGAGGGTCGTCAAGAATTCTAATAGGATTCATTACAATACTAATTTACGTATTTCGGATATTGCACTGTCAGGTACTGTTAATATGGATACAGCATACCATTTGATATGCTCAATATGATACTGATTCCATTGGGTCCAAACCCCTTTTGGGTTGGGCGGAATCACAATCAGTTGAAGGCAAGATCTCTATGGCAAGTTACCAAATATATCCAGTAATATCTGAATTAACCCACTCATTCCCTTTGAAATCCTGGTAAGCCTGGTTGATGCCCATTTTAAGGTAGCTTACGTTCTTCTCAATACCACCACAAAACATCATTATGTGTTATACCAGGCAATCTGTTACTCAACATGTAATGACACATTTTGCTTAGAATTGAAGGAATTCTTAAGACAAAAGTAGACCTGGTGTCATAAAGATTGGAGCTCTATCCATCCATCCATCCAAACACCCACCCACCCACCCACCCATCCATCCATCCATCCACCCACCCTTTATGGAGACAATGTGAAAAGATAGTAGGGGGCTGACAACACCTGGTTTATATGGCAACTGAAATCAGTTCATCTCTAACTCTGAATTCTCTGCCTTACTACTCTACAGGCCTTCGCTGGAAACATCAACTCAGACAGTGTTGTCCGGCACGATTTACAGCATCCAATCATTGCACGTTATGTACGCGTAGTACCCCTGGACTGGAATGGTGAAGGCCATATTGGGCTGAGAATGGAAATCTATGGCTGTCCCTATTGTAAGTATTACTTACAACTTTTAATAGTAACTTCATTTATTTTTGGTCAGTCTGACGCACATGGAAACCCATCATAATATGTTAGGGTTTTTACACCAAACTGATATACATCAAAAATTAATGTCTTGAACCACTTTATGCAACACTTGGATAGAAATGAATGTGAATATTTTACAGGCAAACACAGCAGCTAATCTGCACCTGTATACAGGTGAGAGAAGGGAGATTAGAAGAATTTTTCTTCGACACAGAGTGGTTAGGATATGGAATGTCCTACCAAGAGCAACGGTTGAGGCAGAATCCATATTAGCTTTCAAAAGAGAACTAGATAAATACCTTAAAAGGAGTCAGCTACAGGGGTATGGGTAAATGGCAGGATTGTTCTTAAAGGAGCCGGGAGACATGATCAGTTGAATGGCCTTCTTCTGTGCTGTAAATTTTTATGATTATATAGAATAAGAGGAAAATGGTGGAAGGGAAGAAATGGAGGGGTGATGAGAATGGGTGGAGGTTCAAGTAGAATATAGTTGGGCTAAATGGTTTGTTTTGGTATTGTAGGTTCTATCTCTGTATCTGCAATCTTCCAAAACCCACACCAGAAGAGCAGCTATTTCATTTGAATTTGACAATAAATTTAGATTTAGGGAATGAATATAAAGCAAATTAACAGATGAAAAAATCTATGATTCCTTGAAATAGCAATGGCAGGATGGTTCACCTAAATCACAAGGGAAGAAAAGGATCTAAAAAGGAACAATCCACAACATGGGATACTAAACTTGAAATAAATAATAAACTTCTATATAATGTATAATATTATTATGTAGCCAAATATGGCAGCCAGTGATGTCCTTCCATGATGTCCTTCCTACAAACAGCAGCCAAACGACAAAATGCGAATGAATGGAAATATCTCCAACTGTGTGAATTACATCAACCTTTTGGAGTTGCCAAAAATAAATTAAAAGTTAGCAAAGGAGCAAAGGGGAAGATTAAAAGTTTTTTTTTTACATAAAACATGCTCTGCCAGGTGTGATGATCAAGGCAGAATCCATATTAACTTTCAAGAGGGAACAAGATAGATATCTAAAAATTAGTAATTTTTAAGTGTGTTGGGGCAAAGGCAGATAAATGGGACAGAATGGATTGCTCTTTGAAAAAAGCTAATGCAGGCACAATGAGTCGAATGGCCTTCTTCTATGCAGGAAAATGACTATGGTTCAAATTATTTCAATAGATTCCATATGGAGACAGTATCAAACAACGTCAGATAGTCTTTTGTCAACTTAATTGGTTCAGTGCATAATTCCTTTGAATTCGTCCCCTGCCGAGTTTGTTATTTAGAATATTGAATTAAATGAAACGTTTCACAAGCTGATCACAGAACCCTTGGCTTAGTTTTTAAGTGCAGAGATACTACAGTTTTCCATAAAGGCATATGTGGAGTAATTTAAAATGTCGTAAAGTACGTCCAGTGTCACCAACGATTGTCTGCAAAATGCACAGCCACTTAATAGTATATCCTATCAAGCACTTTGGGACATGCTCCTGATATGAAATAAATCAAATGCAAGGATAACCCCTAAAATACAATCATTTCTGATTAAAACCTAGATAGAAAGATTCAAATGGCTGCTGCCAGCAGCAATATAAGAGCTACTAATTGACTTATCAGTCGCCTATTAAATTACCTTATACAGTCAAACTCACATAAGTTGGGACCATAACATTTAATATGACTGATGTAAAGTATAAGTTTTGGCAAACTTGCATAAGTCGTATCATATATGACTTGTGTAAAGTCAAATTTTATATGACTAACACAACAAATACAGTACATAAGTGTTGTACTGGCTGGTGACATTAAAGCAAAGTTTCTGTACCATGTTTAACCCATGTATATTAAAGCTATTGTAGCCCATTCTTTCCATATAAAGTACTGCACAGTACTGTACCTCATGTGCAGAACACTTGCACTGTACAATGAATAGCACAACCAAACATGTTTCAAAACATAACTGTTTTACTAGAATCTAAAGTCTTACAAAGTTTGTTGTACTTGGAGCAGGTGGTCCAATTTTTTGGCTGTTGAGGGCCGGATGCCTTGTTTGAGAACCACAAAATGCTGCCTTAACAACCCCTCACTCCCTCTGTGCTCTCTCTCATGCACTGTTTCTTTCTCTCCCCCTCACCCACAATCAACACAAATAACAACTTTATATATCGCCCCTCAAACAGGATAGTGTCCCAGAATGCTTGATAGTTCTGGGGTAATAATTCCTTCAAAAAATAATAATAATAATTTGGTCACTCGATCCATGACTGTTTGTGGGACACCGCTCTGTGCAATTAGCTGCCGTGTTTTGCCGTGCATTTGGGTGTGTTTTGTTTGAGGTAGGCGCAGAAAACATAATTTTGAGCCAGCAGCCAATTCAGTAGCAGCAAGTGTTAAACCCAAATTGCGATGTGCGATTGCTCTTAAAGACCTGAAAACTCAACACGGAGTCAGTGCGGTATACATCCAAAAAAGCTTTATTTCATATATATGAGGTGCAGAGCGGTAGTAACAACTCTCTCAAGATACTGCTCCCCACACTGCACACCAGAGAAAAACAACATCTGACTTTTATACATGTTCCATGTTCCCATAATTGGATGTCTGTTTCTTTCATAAAAAGAGATATGGGTCCCGGGTTCCTTAGCACAATAACATATACATTGATAGTTGCAAACCAAAACAAAGCTGAGCTTACACCAAATGCGAAAACATGTTTTGTCTCATTGCCTTTGCTTATTCTGTAACTTTTGCGATTGCCCAAAGATGAACAACATTCCCACACTTTCCACACAAGTGCAGTAGTGGCGTTACGAGTTACACGGTGGTTAATATGACTAGTGCATATAAATTTAAGTGGATTTAATAGGAAATTGAATGTGACTTGGCTGGATGTACAATTTAGGTGATTATAAGATTTATACAGATCCGACTTATGCGAGTTTTGCTGTACACACATTCAGTTTACAGTGGAGTCCTATAGCGTATTGATTAGAGCACTCCCAACTGAGAGGACCTGGGTTTGATTTCCAGGCAGGGTGAAACATTAGGCAAGTCTCTTTAATCCATATGTAACTGTTTACCTAGCAGTGAGTAGGAACCCAGTTGTTAGTTGATTGGTGGGTCACTTTCCCGAGGGTGATAATCCTTTCAAAAAATAAAAAAAAGCAATAAGAATTTGGTCACTCAATTCACGACTGTTTGTGAGACACTGCTGTGCGCAATTTGCCTGCCGCATTTCACCTACAAAATACACAGTCACTACACTTTACAGTATATTCTGTGAACCGTTTTGAGATGTCTTGAAGATGTGATCAGGCACTGTTTCAAATGCAAGGATTATTATTATTAGTAGTAGTAGTAATTCCTTAGATCTAGTGCAATCTTCTCTAATGCTCTAGCTCCTGTCTGAGTGCTGTGGTAAAAATTGTTTACCTTTGTGTAGGTATGATTTTTTGCTACATCATACTAAAAAGGGATCTATTCGCAAGAGGGGTTCAGATTAAAAAGATTCTTCGGTTAATTTTCAACTCATCCTTGCATAATACTCACACTATCTTTTCTATTGCAGCATCAAACTGGTTTGTAATTTAGTCCCGTGTCATGGCCTCTGCCATTCTTTCTACCCACTCATTTATCCTCTGTACAAAGAAATACTTCCTGGTGTCCATCCTAAAATTGCCCTTCTCCCCCCTGACCTTATCCTCTTGCCTTGGCGTTTATGAAATATCATTCTCGATTTACATTTTCTTTCTCTTTTAAACCCATATAAAATGGGGTACTTTTCTAAACTCCTCCTGAGATCCTCTTTTCTGTTTATCCCACTATAAACATGGGTTCTGGTTGTCAGCACAGCATAGCTCTTTCTTTGTAATGCACTGGAATTCCAGTCTGGATTATTGCAATACCAAGGGGCTCAAATCCACAATGTTCTGGCCCAGAAGTGAAAGGTGTGGGGCTGCATCCATAACGTTGTGATACAATGGTAAGATGTGTGAGTCTTGAATTCACAACCTCCTGAGCTAGAGTGAACTAAGCTGATACACACTGAAATGTATGTTTTATAGAGCAGTGTTAAGCAAGGGCTGTAAATGTAAGATTGTGCTATTTTTCATTTGGATGAATTTGTCTGCGGCTGAGACTGGAAGTCGTGTGAACGCTTGCTGAACAATGCAGGCTTCAGTTTATTTGCATAACAGCAAAAGTGGAATTTTTTTTACCTTACTGTCAGCTGTTTATGATCTTGAACATCTTCCAGTTTCCATTGAATGATGAAATGTACACCATTTCATTTTAACAGGATATTTTTAAATCACGGTATTTTTACTTAAAATGCAATTTCTTGGAAATTTTGCCTGAATGAAGTGATTTTTAAAAAAATGCTGACTTCAGTCACTTTGTCTGCTTCAGGATGTTCTTATGACCTTGGTCCTTCTCAATGAGAACTTTTGAAAAATATTGCGGTGGCACTGCAGCCAGTTAATAGGATATGAAAAAAGTCCTCTGAGAATTGTTTTGAATATTTTTTTTTCTTCCTTAATAACTAACTTGATTTGCATAGTTCATTCTGCCCAGCAAATCAGCAGTACCTTGTACCAGACTGTCCTATACTAATAATAATCCTTGCATTTGATATAGCGCATTTTCACGTCATTGAGACGTATCAAAGTGCTTCACAGGACCTATTTTTAAAAAGTCTCAGCAATTCTTGAAAATTCACCAAAGTTAAAGTTTCTTCAGGAGTTAATAAAGGTTGTACTGTAAAATGGCCATTATTCCTGCTCCTTGTACTGGCCACACAAGCTACCTTGAGAAGACTCCACCTCACCCACTCTATCTCCTGCAGAACAATTATCAGAAATTCTTCTTCATTTAAAAGAGGTTCAGATGTAGAAGGTCCTTCGACCCACTTGACCTCAACCTTCCAGAATACTTATCCTACTGT